TTTTTTTCCCACTTGATTTCCCTTATTTTTTTTTTACTTCCCTTTTTTTTTCGCCTCTGGGCGTGGATGGAGGCAAGTAAGTTAAGTTACTTTTTCCGATCTCGGAGAAGCAAGTATTATGCGATATTTATCAGTTCTTGCATTTTTAGCCTCTTACGATAAAGCAGCGCACGCATGGCAAGTCTTTCTGCACATTGATGTAATTGCGTTATAAGTAGCCGGACATAGCAACCTCCGGTGAGTGTGGTCTGATTATCACTTCCTCCATCGTCGTGATGTGGTCCAATCATGATGCCGCATTAATTCAAACGCCAAGTATTCCCCGCAATGTATGGGGAAATCCTTGTGCGCTTCCCCAGTTTTACGGGGACCCCAGGTCATTGACAACATGTCTCGGGGTTGGCATGCTCTTACCAGTCCGGGGATGGAAAAGTTTTGGGTCCTCCTATATAAAGGAACACAGTCATTTTCCCAAGAATCCACTTCGTTTTTGTCTACTCATATTTCTCATTCATGACTTTTGGTTGAGACCCCATTCAAAATGGCTCAACAACTGTTGCACCTTACTGGCAGTGCTCTACGCATGGCCCAGGTTATCCTCATTGTTGCTCCAGCTTTTATCATTTTCGGCTACAACCAGGCCGGGGCTGGTCCCCTTGCTACCCTCCAATCTTGGGTAAAAGTCTTTCCTCAAATCGACACAATCAATACAACAGGTGCTTTGGAGGCAAAGAATTCAACTGGGAAGGGAGCTGTCATTGCGTCCTTCCAAATTGGTGCGCTGATTGGTGCGCTGTCGTGTACTGTCATTTCGGATCGTCTTGGGCGTCGCAAGACTATATTTATTGGTTCTATTTTCACCATCATCGGTCAATTACTACAAGTGTCGGCCTACTCTTTGATTCAATTTACAGTTGGCCGAATCATTCTGGGTATCGGTACTGGTCAATTCAGTGTTGCTGTACCTGTTTGGCAATCTGAGTGCTCTTCCGCCAAGCATCGCGGTCAGCATGTCATCGCCGACGGTATCTTTATGTGTCTCGGATATGCTCTGTGCAATTGGATCGACTTTGCCTTCAGTCGACTTCCCAATGAGAATACCGGTCAGTGGCGTGGACCGCTGTCGCTTTCCTTCTTGCCATCACTGGTGATCTTGGTCGCGGTCTTCTTACTTCCCGAGTCCCCGCGTTGGTTAGTAAGAGTCAACCGTACCGAAGAGGCAACCGCTAGTCTTGCCGCATACAAGGGCATGTCTCCCGAGGACGAAGCAATCAAGTCAGAGATTTCTGGTATTGGACTGTCTTTCGAGAATACCTCTCAATCCACAAGGGCGATCCGCGAGATGTTCTCCAAGGATGATAACGAGCGCTTGTTCTATCGCTTCTGTCTCTGCATCATCTTGCAATTTTTCCAACAAATGTGCGGCGGCAACCTCATCTCAGTCTACGCCTCCACCATCTTCGAAGACAACCTGGGACTGAGCTCTAGTCTCTCAAAGATCCTCGCAGCATCTGCACTCACGTGGAAGTTCGTGTGCTGTTTCATCTCCTTTTTCGCCATTGATCGACTGGGTCGCCGGGCGGTATTTATGATCAGCGGAACTGGCATGGCAATTTGTATGGCCGCAATGGCAATCACCACTAGCTTCGGAGTTGAGAACAGACAGGCGTCGATCGCATCGGTGGTTTTCATTTTCATGTTTAACCTCTTCTACCCCATTGGCTTCCTGGGCGGTAATTTCCTGTACTGCACAGAAGTTGCTCCCCAGCGCCTTCGCGTTGCCATGTCTGCTATCTCCACTGCCAACCACTGGTTGTGGAACTTTGTCGTTGTCATGATCACACCGGTCGCTTTGGATACTATCGGCTACCAGTATTACATTATGTACGCAATCTTATCAGCGTGCATCCCGGTTTTGGTGTACTTCTTCTATCCAGAGACGATGAACCGGAACTTGGAGTTGATCAACCATGTCTTCCGGGATGCGTCGTCGCCTTGGCAGATTGTCTCTATGGCGCGTCATCTTCCCCAGGGGGAAATCACGCCGGCAGAGCTGGTCGCCTATAACAAAGAGAAGGATGATTGCTCTGTTGAGATGAGAGAACATGCATGATTGATGATTATTGCTGGTTACGTTGGCGAGATTCATGACGTAGTCGAATTTACATGTTTTTACGGATTATATTCCCCATGAGACAATCAATTCACGTTCAAGATGACCGTGTTTGCTGCACCTACGTAAGGTTTTCTAGCTGAATCATAACCACTATGCTTGTCATATAGCCCCAGCTGAAGACAAGGTGAAACTCACGAGCAAATATTAGATCCTTGGCGTTCTGCAAGCATGGTCTGATAGGTGGGACGGGAATAGGGGAAATATGACGAACCTATTAGGATGCTGACAGAAAGCCCGGAGAAAAACACACCGCGGCTTGCCGGTCAAATATGCCGCAGCCTCATTCATGTCGGTTTATTAAGCCCTAAACCAGGGTTGGCCATTCCGGTTTTCGGAAATTTCTTACCCCGACTTAATTTCCGGGGTTGGTTCAACCTTTCAAGAATGTCTGGGCTTGGCATCATCAGCCGCGTCGGAGGTGATCTTTGCTGCGAACTTCGGGAGTTAGTGTGGGTCCTCCAATGGGATCGGACTATACAGCTTGCTGCCGGTCGCGATAAGCCGTCACATCCGGGGTTCATACTAGCGGTTGATGTATGTTATCATTGTAGATGCCATGTCTCCTACCCGGTCCCGTCGGACTTGTTGGAAGCCGATTGAACGCCTCCTGACGTAGGGTCTGTCGGCTCCTAGAATCGGGCTGGGTCGTATACTGGCGACGGAGTCGATATGGTATTATATTATATAGTATCATGTTAATCCCTGGGTGATGGATATAGAAGCCAATGCTTATACTAGAGAAATAATTCACTACTATCAGCACAATAATATCTCACCAGACTATCCTCGAACATAACTGCGTATCTACATAATCATGGCTCCCTCCACCAATGACCCTCCTCTTGGTATTTCCACCTCACCATTCGCCTGCAAAGTAGGCATCAACGGCTTTGGCCGGATAGGTATGTTATTATACCTTCTCAGGTAACAGTATAACCCACTCAACATCATTCCTAGGCCGCAACCTCCTCCGCGCATCCCTCGTCCGCTCAGACATTCAAGTCGTCGCCATCAATCACACATGCGTCACAGTCGAAGACCTCATCTACCTCATCCGATATGACTCCTCCATGGGAGACCTTGACGATGGAACATCTATCCAAATAAAATCCGAAAACCTCATCATCATAGACGGCAACCCCATTACCTTGACCTCTGAGCGCGACCTGAAGAAGCTCAAATGGGATGCCCTGGGCGTCGACTATGTACTCGAATGTACAGGCAAATTCACAAAGTCGCACCAAGCTATAGAACACATCACCTATGGAAAGGCAAAGCGAGTCCTAATCTCTGCACCCTCTGATTCGCCCACCTTTGTCTATGGCGTTAACTCCAACTCGTACCGTCCTACTGAGGAAAACCTGGTAATTTCTAATGCCAGCTGCACAACGAACTGCGTTACGCCGGTGTTGAAGGTGCTTCATGAGAATTTTGGTGTCGCTCAGGGATTTTTGACGACTATTCATGCTGCTACTCGGTCTCAGCAGGTTCTGGATGGGTATAGCAAGAAGAACCGTCGGCTTGGTGAGTTAAACATTCCACACAGGTTTGATCGACCGGAACTGATTTCTCTGCTTGTAGGTCGTGGTGTCTTCAACAACATCATCCCGACAACTACTGGCGCTTCAAAGGCCGTTGCTTCAGTGCTGCCCGAGCTAAGCGGCAAGGTGACGGGCGTATCGATCCGTGTACCGACGTAAGCTTCACTGAACTCTTCATAGCCAGCACTTACTAATTGAACTGGATACAGACCCAATGTCTCGATGATTGATCTTACAATCAGCACCGAGAAGCCCACATCCCTCTCAGAAATCATTTCTACCTTCCGCGTCGCATCCAAGTCCAGCATGGCTGGCGTGCTGAGGGTTACAGATGAGGAGCTCGTAAGCGCTGATTATAACGGAAGCCCATATAGTGCTATCATTGATGCGCCTGCATGTTCGGAGCTGAATCCTCAGGTGAGTAGGCGCAGTGGCCTTCATGGGTCTGAGGCATGCTGACTTGTTTATAGTTCTTCAAAATCATGGCATGGTACGATAACGAGTGGGGTTACTCAAATCGTCTACTGGATCTGGCGACACATGTCCACGCTGCTCAGAACATGCAATAATGTTCTAGATTGGATATAGTAATTTTTTGAGCGTGGATAATTAGGGCGTTAGATGGTAGCTTCACTTGTGTCTTCGTCTATATGACTCCTACGAAGCTATAGGCATGGTATCGATTTTGATGAATTAGACTATTTTAGCCTGGTAATAGATAGTATTTATGAGGAACACAATTCTTAGTGATTCTATGATTCTTCTTTTCGAGATGATCTCCAGCTTTGGCTGGCATGAATGCCACTTTATTGTTATTGTAGACGGCTAATGTTGGGCGATGGCCTGTATGAGACTATGAAGTAGGTAACCACCTCAAAATATATCATCGGTTTAAACCGGGCACAACATGATCATAGCGCCTCAGCTTTTTCTGGCTCAAGCCATTCAGGATCAATCGGCAAACGTGCAATGAGTAACTGCGCGACAATTACTAGGCACCTCCACTGTCTTCAACCATCTGTCCCTTTGATGTTTTAAACTCCGTGGACCCTAGGCGTCCTGACCCTATCTGCTCGACTTTTCCGGACTGTCTTGGCGATAAGGGACAAGATCTGGGACTGGAGCTTGGCAGTACAATATTATTTAATTGACATGTGCTCATTATATTTCTCTGACATTAAAGAGCAAGTACATACGACCACAGGGTGTGGAAAACAGGGCTTCCCGTCCGCTCAGCCGTACTTAAGCCACACGCCGGGAGGTTAGTAGTTGGGTGGGTGACCACCAGCGAATCCCTTCTGTTGTATGTTTTTTGCCTCTATATGTTTTTTTGGGGGGTTTCACCTCCTTTGTTACGTGAAATCCAACAAATAACGTCACCGAGAAAGCATACGAAACAACGTCTACATGTGGGAGGATGTCACGGTGTAACATCCAGGGCACCACTCAAGGGTTGGACTTCACTACCCGCATAGCTGTCCCAACAATCCGTCTTAAGTCAAGTCATGTCAATGAAGGGAGCGGCTACCATCCTGGCACCATGTTTGACTCAGTAGTCCATCTACTTGCCATCGGCATTAAAATGCTACGAAATGTTGTATTTGGTTGATGGTCGGCTTTCTATGCATACGTCCATTTTAGAGGGTTTATGCATTTTGCTCTCAGTGTTTTCATGTGGGTACGTGACCCTGAAGTGCATGCCAACTAGTAGAATCGTTTCCAGGGTCATCCCTAGTCATTAGTACGGAGTAGACTAGAGGCTAAGGTTAGTGCTCTCGCGTTAGCGCGATCCAACTCAAACCGGGCGGCGCTTGGACCACTTAACTGTGAATCCTGGCAAAACGATTGAGCCAAACTGCTGCTCAATCGTTAAGCCACCGTCCATATCGACATTGAATAAATCCTTGGAGAAGTCAAGCTTGCGAAAGATTAATTCAACCGCAAGGGATGTCTTGCCATTTCCGGTTAGCCCGGGGAGAGCTCCAATCATGTGACCTTTGGGTGGGGCCGCAGCAATGACATAAGCAAACAAAGATCCACACAAGCTTCCAAATCCAGGGTTCTGAAGTCTCCATTCCTTTCTTGTCATTGGGCCTAGAGCTAGTCTCCTCGATCAACTAGCCACTACTATTCTAGTCTCGGCCCATCAACAATCGCCAGTATGCTACCTGGATTCCTGCAGAGTAGCTACGCTCGCTACAAAGCAGATACCAATACCTTCGCAACATGGCTACTAGAGACTGCCAACCAATGTGGCTATCGGCCTACCCTTTCTGCTACCGTTCCTGCGGCGAACAAGAGTAAGCGTAAAGGTAAAACGGATGGCTCAAACGAACAGTCAATTCAATACACTGCTACTACCGAAGACCTACAAAAGTTCGCCGAGGTGGTTGCCGGTTCCTCTCTGACCGTGCCGAAATCAGTCCTCACCATTGCCAAACGCGCCATCAAATTGAGGAAAACGGTCACTTCATGGTTCTTGGGTCGTGGCGACATCGCGAACAATAAGCGCCATGCTCACTTTATCACTGCGCTGGAGCAAATTTGCGATACCCTTGAATGGAAGACCGCCCAACCCTCCAAGACAGATGCTAAGCAGCCACAATCAATGCCTGAGGTCCAAGATGACGATGCCGATGCTGACAGATTCTTGAACAAGTTTGCTGTTCTCACGGTGGAGGAACCTGAGGATATCCCAGAGACTCGATCGGCGCCCGCAGCATCGAAGAAGGTTGTCAAGGTCACGGTTGTGGAGGAGGAAAATGAGGCAGCCGACTCCTATCTTGGTCACTTGTTCTTCAAGACCTTGTGTCTACTGCAAGATTTGGACAACGTGCGGAAATTTATTTCCATCACCTGGTCGGAGTACCGGGATAAGAAAATCGACCTTATGAACGCCGCTGTCGTGACGGACAGTGCCTTGCAACTTGCCTGAGATATGGTGAAGGAGGTAGAGGCTGACTGGCTCTCTACTCGCACGCCGGCAAGAAATGATGTTCAGACACTTGTTTACAATCTCGCCGTCATGAGCCGGGGCATCTCCGCAGCTCCATCCACGGAGGTTGGCCTGCCATACAACAAGGACATGGCTGATGTAGCCGATTGGTGCTATCTGCCTACCAAGGTTCTGCTTGACGCCTTTGCCAATGTCCTCCACGACAATCATCAACCAGTCTTCAAAAAGGGCTATTTCGGTACCTATAACCCAAAGGCGAACAGGGAGCGGATGTCTGTGGGCCAAAAGTTCAACGAAGACAAGATCATCCTTCTTTCGATCTTGCCCGAGTTCTGCATGTTTGACACTTTCAAATTCAGGACGCCTACCTCGGACACTATCACGCAAGGACTTGTTGAATTTTCCAAGAACAAAAAAGTTACCCTATGGCTATGCTTTGCCTCCCAGATTTTCCTCGACATCCATCACATCATGCGATACAGTACCCTGGGTGCCTTTGGAGACCTTCGGATGTCAGGACTGCGCATCCAGAAGGTCATTGATGACTACCTGAAGCTGTCCAAAACACACCCCCAGCCCAAGTTTTGGGCAAAGGAGGGCGACGAGGAGATACAAGGTATTAGTTCTACCGTGGACTCCTGGATCATACAAGACGCGTTCCTCAATCTTCGGGTCCTGTCTGGACTCGATAAAACCGGATCACTGCCTGAGAAGCATGCACTTTTATCGCAGCACTCTATCCTCTGCGGACTGATATTATTCCACCTCAATATTAGAATGCAGCGTGTAGGCCAGCAGCTTGTCACCCAATGGTATGACGTCCAACAGCTGGCTTTCTTGCACAATCTCGTTATCAATTATGCTACGCACAAGGACGTGAGATGGCCCGATATGGATGCTTTCATCAAGATCCATGGCGAGTCTCATATATTCATTGGTTCGCGGCCCCAGAACGCCGGTGAATCGCTAAACAGGCTTGAACTGGCCACAGGCATCTCATCTGTTGCCAATTTAGCGCGCGATTCCCGGAGTAAACCCTTTCATAAACCGGATGGCAAGAATCCACGCTTGCTCAAGCCTACCACTGCAGTTGCGAACTTGTTCTCCCCAAAGTATGTCGAGGGTCTCGCGGAAGATGCCGGGATCGTCAACATTGACCGGATCCTGGACGGGCTCTCACAAAAATCCAAGCTTGAATCCTCGTCCTGCAAGGAGCTCAACAGAGCCAATGCGGAGCTCTCGATTACCCAAAAGTGGTCGAATACCCGCAAAATTGACACACTCCACCTTTTGGCCTTCTGAAGACCAAGCTTTACGAAGAGGAGCCTGTCATCTTGTACAACTACTTCGGCATGCACAAACGTTCCATCGAGCTACTGCGGTTGATCCGAGAGAAAGAGCATCACAAATGTGTTCAATATTTTACAGCCGGGTACATGCCTGATGAGTCCTTCATCTCCAACATTGTCCTTCTCATCCACCATGTCGCGCGAGGCTCGGCGCAAAACGCACGTTCAATGGGACTCGGATCAGGGGACGTGGAGTTAGTAAGTCGTATTGTCATGAGCTCTGGCGACGTCATGCGTGAATACTTGAAGAAAAATGGTGACGTGGCATGCAAAGAGCTGAGGGTGTTTTGCAAGAACAAAAAGCCCATTCAAGATGAGGTTGCTGATGATGCGGGCGAATCGGACGGGCTGGTGACGTCTTGGCTGCATCTTGAGGATGTTCTGGGTCCGAAGGGCGTGGCCTCGCTTATGACCGGGATCCCGATGGCCTAGTCTCAGGAACCGTCCAAATGCCGACTACTTGCCAAGAACTTCCGCCCGTCCCCCTTGAAATCTCTGCCTCATTTGTTACCGCCAATATTTATGACTCAAAACTTTTCATGCCCAGGCTGAGCAAGTATATGACAATGGGCTCCAACGATAATAATGTCTTAAATCCTTTGGCGTACGCCTATTTTTTAGGTGGTGAAGAGTGGGTGACAGGCCATTGTGGAGCCCCCAAAGCTAGAAATCCTTAGTTAGATCCTGCACATCGCCCCCCAAAGGCACCGATGCGGCGACTGATCCCACGCCGTGTGATATCATGGTGAACAACTACAACGTACAACGTAGACAAGCATAACTTCGACTTTCGACTCAACAGGTTGACAAGACCGACACGATGTCGCCATATTCCCATTTCCATTTGTCATGACTTGGCATTGACTCCAATCACGCAATATCCACAGCCCCACCCACAATACGAATTCTCCTCGTTCATCCCCAACCCCAAATTTTGCCCAAATATCGAGACTTCCTTCTCAGTTATCAGATCAGATCAACCACGTGGCGAGTGCCCTTCTAAAGGTTCCATCACCATGGCCTCACCCCAGCCGACTAACCGCTTCCTGTCGGTGGTCCGGTCGATCCCCTTCCAGATCGCCATCGCCAGTGGTGTTTCCTTCACTGCTCCGGGCATGTGGGATGCCTTGAACAACCTGGGAGCTGGAGGTGCCGCAGAGCCGTACGCTGTCTCAGCTGCGAATGCCCTGCTGTATGGACTGTTCGCCGTGGTTTGTATCGCTGCCGGCGCCATCAACAACCGTATCGGGCTTCGCTATGGCCTGGCGCTGGGCGCCATTGGTTACCCTATCTACGGTGCCGGTCTGTATACGAACAACTATTCGCCGACGACTTGGTTTCTGCTATTTGGAAGTGCTTTGTGTGGTATCTCAGCTGGTTTCTTCTGGGCTGCCGAAGCGGCTATCATTATCGGGTACCCTAGTCCCAAGGACAGAGCATTTTACCTAGGTGAGTAACTGAATTCTCGAATTTGGTCCTGGTCATGCGCATCTGACAGCTTCTCTAGCGATTTGGCAAACCGCCAAAGCTGCAGGCCCTATCGTCGGTGGTGCAATCGAACTGGGCCTTAATGCTCAAAACTCTGGCAAGGGAACCGTCAGTGCAAGCACGTACATCGTCTTCATCGTGCTCATGTGCCTCGGACTTCCTATCGGCCTGTGCCTAAGCCCAGCGGAGAAGGTTCAACGCAAAGACAGGACCTTAGTCGTTGTCCACACGCAAGCCACGTGGATGGCCGAATTCAAAGCCGTCATTTCACTGCTCTTCACCCGCCGTATTGCCATGCTGATGCCGGCCTTCTTCATCAGCTACTTCTACAACGGCTTCCAGAGCACCTGGCTGACCGACTACTTTACTGTTCGCTCCCGGGCTTTCTCCTCATTCTTCACCAACTTCGCCGGCATCACATCTTCCTTCCTGATTGCCACCTTACTGGACAAGCAGTCTATCCACATCAAGACGCGGGCCCGCATTGCCTTCGCCTCACTCATTTTCGTGCTCATAGGCACCTGGATCTGGGCCACCATCCTGCAGTACCAGTTCTACTACGAATACACCGACCCAGTCTTTGACTGGTTCAAGGGTGGGTTCGGCAAGACATACGCTCTTGTTTTCTTCTGGTCCTTCGGTGGACAGGCTTTCCAACAGTTCCTCTACTGGCTTGTCGGGCAGTACACCACCGACCTTTCGTCCCTGTCTCACCATTGCGGTATCCTCCGTGGGTTCGAGGCTCTGGGACAGACTGTTGCCTGGGCGTGAGTCTCATACCTTTCCCGTATCTACGAAAGTTATAACCAACTAACTAACGAACCCCCATCTAGTATGCAATCCGAAGGCAACGCCAACCACTTCGTTAGCATCGGCCTCAACTTCGGCATCACCTTGCTCTGCGTGATCCCCACGTGGATCATCATCTCCGAGCTCGAGCATACCCATGAAGTGGAGGTTCGCGCGGAGGATACCGCCAAGACTGTCGATTATGGCGAGGCCGAGCCGCAGACGGCTTAATTTTACTAACTTGTATAATATCATTTTAGCGTTTTCAACAACTTGTGCTGCCTTTCAGCGAGGCGTTTGGGGGTTTTAGTCGAGCAGGACTGGACTTGATTCAACAGCATGTCGGATTTCTTATGAAATACTGGTGGTGGGTATAGTGGTAGAGGGGTTTAGATTTGAAGGGGGAGAGGGGTGAAGAATAATTTAATATACTATAATATTGACTAGAGGTGTCAATGCTACGAGTGGTTTTGTCCACGCATGGTTGAAGTTCTAATAGTAATGAAGGCGTAGAAAGAAGAGGGAAAGATATTGTATCATTTGCCGATGCGAAGGGACTAGCCCATCCGGTGGTGTAAGGACGGACTGCAGACGCAGGTGTCAATGGAACTAAGCGACATATGGAATCGCAGAGGTAGATGCAACAACTGCTGTTGATGAGACGGGGCTGATCGAGCACGGGCACGCCCCCTCCTTGGGATCAAAGGAGACACCATAGTGGTAAGCAGCGCTGATATTGGTGTTGATGTCGCTCAAGATATCGTCGATCGCTGTGATATTGATGAGTGATCAGAATCTCGTCTAGCCTCCCTCTAAATATAATGTGGAATGAACTGATTGACTTACTGATAGGACTAACACCAACATTATAATCACCAGGACCCTCCTGCGTCTGAAGATACACTTCCCCATCCAGCCAATAGTACTCATTATGCCAGGGGTTGTGGCCATTCGTGAACCACACATATCCATCGGTATCGCCACCCGTGCCATTGAAGCAGTTACCACTGGGGTCGTTGCAGTAAGGGGCAGGAGAACTATCGCCCATACGGTATCCGCCACCTCCAGCAACAGGGAGCCAGGTACCGTTGGGCTTCATGATGATGTCGGCTGCTGAACCGGAGTGCCTGGGAGGAAAGGAATTATCGCTCAGCAAACATCGTGGAGTTGCCGTTGGTTGAACTCACTTCCAGTACTCAATCTCCCACCGAAGGCGTAAGTAGCCTGTGCCGCGAAGAGTCACGTTGTTCGAACTGTAGAAAAGCTCCCATTGTCCACCTACAAGGGGTAATGTGCGTTAGTCTACTAATCTGCTTCACGAAGGGGTCCAGAAGGAGCACCTAGGAAGCCGGGTTGAAAGGGGACATAGCTGCCAGACACATATTCCACCCCGGTGTTGGTACGATTGGTGATGGGTGTAAAGGCCGTGCTACCACATGCGAACGCTGTAGCTGCACCGGAGAGTATAGTAGCCCATTTCATGATGCTAAATGGGAAATCAGAAAGGTCTTCCTGGGGCACGTGAGTATATTTCGTAAACAAGTTGGAAACCCGCAAAGTATCTGGTTCAACTTCTTCTGTTGAGGACTGAGCTTCCAGTTATATTATAATGGGATACCAGTAGTAACTTCTGGTTCAGGTCCACTCGCCGTTAATCTTCAGATTCCGCTCGCAAAGGAGAATCTGTCACGCAGATAGACTGAGGATTACGGGGAAAGATCGGCGGCCTGATTACGTATCTAAGCATCCTTCCCGCGCGTTATGGGCCCTTACACTGGCTGTGCAGCCGTCTTCGGATCTCCTAGGAGTGGGTCGAACAGACGGAGTGTTTCAAGGGTCTAAGCGAGTCAACGACCGGGATGTGAACTGATAGATAGGATACGGAAGGATAGGAGACCCTGATCATCGTTCATTTAACCCTGGTTTAGCTCCAGCTCCATCAGTTATCTGATCCATGCTCTTGTATCTGTTAACTATATAAGGAGGGATTCTGAATTGATAGTAGTCTTTATGCTTGGATCGATGTTAAACCCGCGGCTTCGTCTCCGCGGTCGGTGGGCCATGTCTGTCGGCTAAACCAAGCTGAGATACCAACACCGTGTGCACGCTCGGCATAGCTTTCTGTGGAGAGAAAATAGGGGGGAAGCCTTTGGGAGTTAAAGCTAGGCTAGGTTGCTACTTGATCATGCCATCGGCTAAACCTCGTTATAAAGACATATAAGAAATGACCGCACCACTGTATGGCTATTCACATCTGGCTCACTTCTATCTCGCTTTCACGTCGCCCCTGCTTCAATTGGCAGTGACCAACAATTCTTTGGTCTCTCTTTATTTAACATATTCAAACCAGCCTGATCATTAAAGCGGGCAGACTTATTAAACAATTGAACTGGATCAGGAGACATTTTGAATCTCCATCTTCCGTATCAGAGCGAGTAAGAGGACCTATTGAAGTTCACCGCTATATGTTTCGTATTAAACGAAGATGCGAGACTAAGTGCTGCAATAGTGCATGCTATAGTAGATGAATATTTCGTGGCTGCTGATACTGGAAACCTATGAAGTATCAAATGTATATTTCGTCTGCCTTAAGATAGATTGGATTTTAGGAAACTAGAAAGCCGACAGTTGACAGCAAAGCCAAACCGTATCATTACCATAAAAGAACCGGTTTGA